TTAAAACCCAGCGAGATGCACCTGGTGCATGGGTAACAGCCAGTTTATAGACTGAGACAGACTAGGAAGAAGGAAGAGGCCGTCCACTTCTGAAAGAATTGGCCAGGGAAAACCTTATGAATAGCAAAGAAACACTGTTGCTTAGGGTATCAATTTTTATGCACTCCATTTCATTTTTGACAACTTCCTGTTTTCCTAGATTCATACTTCATACATACCATGTTCCAATTATTAATGGATATTTGAAGCTGTTTCTTCTGGAACTGTTTCTTCTGGAGTCATGCCACAGTAGCAAATGAAGGTCCCAAAAGCTTTACTCCATCCGTGTCTAAAGGTCAACTGTACTTTGTGGAGGCAGCTCTTCCCCAGTCATATTTTGAGTTCCTTGTAACCTGAGAGCCTCATCTTCCTTATCTCAAATAAAAAATTCAGCTTTACTGAATTTTTCCAAAATATATGCACTTTTTTTTTTCAATTCCATGTATGTGTAGAATGATCCTTTAAAACTAAAATGTCAACTGTTTGTATGTGGCTATTTTGTTTCCTCTTGGTCTGTCTGAAGAATATTCTCTGTTAATTACTGGCATCAGCTGATATCAGCATTTGTCAGCAGGAAATGAATTTTAGGAAAAGCTTTTGCTTTCTTCAGTTTTGCTTTCAGCACATCTTAAAATTCATGCTTTAGTGAGGTTAAATGTGGTTACTACTCCTTGGAAGAATGCATGAGTCTAAGCAATTAGCAACTATCATAAAATAAAATTAATATAAATAGTTCTATTTAATATCCCAGAAAGTGAGTACATAAATAGAAAGCTAGCTAACTAGCTAAAGTAGATAGAATTAGACTTTAAAACTAGAGATCAAAAACAATTTATATTTATTACTATGTTAAAAGGAGCTCTGGTGGCATAGTGAGTAAAGTGTTTGGCTGCTAACCAGAAGGTTGGTGGTTCAAACTCACCATCTGCTTCACAGGAAGAAGATGAGACAATCTACTTCTGTAAAGATTTATAGCCTTGGAAACCCAGTTAGGGTCAGTATGAGTCAAAATGGATCAAAGGCAGTGAGTTTGTTTTGGAATATGTTAATATAATAGTATTGATATATGTGGCTTATTAACATTATATGTAATATATGCAGTAACATCTAATAGTGCTTTAAAAAACCGCTTTCCCAGCCATTCGTGAAAGAGCAGGAGCTCTGGTAGCGTAGTGCCTAAGGCACTTGACGGCTAACCAGAAGGTTGGCAGTTCAAACTCACCAGCCACTCCTCGGAAGGAAGGTTGGGCAATCTACTTCCATAGTGATATCGCCTTGGAAACCCAAGGAGGGGTCGCTATGAGTCGAGTCTGACTAGATGCCACATAGCAGCAACAACAGTGAAAGAGCAGATATTAGTAACCTTATTTTACTGAGAATTAAACTGGAGTTTGATTTCTAACTGGTGTCCTACTTTACCACCTTGAAAAAAATATTTTTTCTGAGCCATTATATATGTTTCCTTTTCTAAGGGCATTTTATTTTTATTCTAAATAGAAATTAGACATCAAAAAGCCTAAGTTTCTTTGAAATGAATTTATTTTGAGGAATGTAAATTTGTTGGACAAATGATAGATGAGAGTCCAAAAGGACCAGAAGAAATCATATAGTTGATTGCCTAAAAACGTTCGATAAGTTGTTTTAAAAAATTGATTTTATATATAGTTATAACTTCTCAACCAAAGTTTTATTTTCCTAGTTGAATATAATGGTAACAGAAAGCAAGAGATGTGTAAAATCTCTGAAAGAAGAAGTTCAAAAGCTGGATGACCTTTACCAACACAAAGTTAAGGTAAAAACTTTGTCACTTTTTGTATGAGTTAGCCAAAGCTGTGTCAGGATTGATTGACTACGCACATATTTTAACATCAGAACTGAAACTTTAAACAAACAAAAAACATTTTTTAAACATAACTCCCTTTCTGTGGGGGAGCTCTGATGGTGGAGTGCCTAAGGCATTTGACTGCTAACCAGAAAGCTGGCAATTCAAACCCACCAGCCATTCCTCAGAAGGAAAATTGGTCAATCTACTTCCATAGTGTTACTGAACCCTAATAAAGCCTTTTTGTAATTGTAATTTCCCAGCAAGAGTCATTGTAAACTGACTTCCCTGGCCAAATTCCAAAGAGTATTTCTGTGAAATCAAGAATGTGGGTAAAATAGCAAAGTTGATTCCCACTCCATGTCCCCCACCCCTAGCCAGTGTTTCTTAGGGAAGTACTCAGATGACTCTGTTCATCACACTTAGACAGTTTATGTGAAAATTTTAACCATGCTGATACTTCATACATAGTTATGCCAACAAAGTTGCAAAACTTTTCTCTTGACCTGTACCATATTTAGAGCCTATACATTTTTTTTTGTTTTTAAGTTAGTTGTGAAATTTTTTAGCAATTAACAGCACTTAATATGACCTATAATTACAGTGTGAGACATTTGTTAACCATTTTTATTTTTCATTTGTCCTCCATGACAGTACGTGAGTTTATTCTCTGAAGCATTCAAATGAAGGGCTTTGATAGTTTATCTTGATAAACCTGATGAATTGGGGCTACTTTGCCTGTGCATGGTAGTTTAACTTAATATAATAGTAAATGTTTAAGGTATGGTTAGGTAATAAAAAATTTTGAAAAAATATATGATAAGGTATGGAAACATATAAAGATTTATTATACTCACAGTGCCTGATGTTCACAGCACCCCCAGCAGGACCACACAGGAAACACAGGGGCTGTTACAGGCAGAGATGCAGCGGGACTGTGGGCAAGCATCTTTATAGGGGTTTTAGTAGAAAATGGGACAGACAAGAGGTCAGGGTACATGGGGAATTTATTGGTCAGCTGTATTTGAAATACTTTAAGGTTTGAGATGTTTAACAAAGGGGAAGAAACTGAGGGAACTTCTTATCTAGATATAGCAGACGTGGGTGGAGAAGAGTTACTTTGTTGGCTATTAAAATATCATTTACAGAAGCTAAAAAATATGATTAATGCACATAGTTAATGCAAATGTAAAATGATAGCTGTGTAAGAGTTATCCAAATTGGACATAAATTAGTCTTCCTTGGTGCTCATAGGGAAAAAAAACTTAAAATAGCATAAAATTTTCTAGTTCAGGCTTGAAAATACTGCTGAATAAATCCTATACAGGCCTGTTTAAAAGGTTATATCTATGTTTATGGTATGGAATTCCCAAAGGAGCACTTAAAGTCTTTTCACATGTAAAGAAATAAGCATATTGATAATAAAAATGATGGAATATGATAAAAGAAATGTTTTGAAAATAATCTTTCTGGAGTATATAAAATATGAATATCAAAAACTCATAGCCATGACTTTATCCTTCAGGAGGCTGAAGAAGAGGACAAAAAATGTGCCAGCGAGCTTGAGTCCTTGGAAAAACACAAACATCTCCTGGAAAGTGGTGTTAATGAGGGCCTCAGTGAAGCAGTGAATGAATTAGATACTATTCAACGGGAGTAAGTTCATCTTTCCAGCATTTATAATGTTTCAGATTAGTTATTTGATATTTATGTAAAACTAGGTCTATTGTGATTTACTTTATATTATAGACCTATTTGGAGTAGAGAGTGATACTTAAGCAGAACACTGTTACTTAAAATTAAAGGTTTGTTTATAACTTGAGATACTTTATCTACAGATATGTTCTACTACTATTATAGTTATTGCCACCAAAACAAATCATTCATTTTTAGATATAATTTATAAATGACTTTTAATCCCTAAAACCAACAGAAAATTTAAATTGAAATAACTTTATTAGTGAATTTTAATAAAACCACTCATATTTTAAGATATGTTTTTTTGAAGTTAAGTATATTTATACTAAAATATAATGTAATTCGACTATATACAGTCCTATAAAACAGATCTACCTTCTTAAAAATCTCCCTGCTTTGCAAAATTGTGGAATAAAAACCTCAACACTTATGAACAGCAACATTCAAAAACTTCATCAGTGATTCACATAAGCAAAAGACCAAAAAAAAAAAAAACCAAACTCACTGCCGTCAATTCGGATCCGACTCATAGCTACCCTTTCTTGGATTTCCAAGGCAGTATCACTACAAAAGTAGATTGCCCAACCTTCATTCCGAGGAGTGGTTCGTGGGTTTGAACTGCCATCCTTTTGGTTAGGAGTCAAATGCTTTAGGCACTACGCCACCAGAGGTCCCAAAGCAAAAGACAGGAAGGAAAAACATTAGTCCAATTTTATATATTAAATGGTTAAGAAGTACAAGTGCTATGAAAATTACAATATTTTACCTTCAAAAAGACCTAAAGTTCATTGGGGAACTGTGTATTGGAAAGAATTGCAGCTTGTGAGTTATTATAAAGAGGTAGAAAGAGTATTATCTGAAATCAGATGGAAGATTGTAACACTAGCTACAGATGAGTGTGTGGCTTATAATATATGCAGTGAACAGACAGCTGGTAGACTTATGAAGTAAATGCATTTTGTGTATTCCTATGCATTTGAATTCTCTTGGGTGTCATTTTCTGGGCTCACTTCATGTTTCTCATGTTGGAAATCAGCATAAGCAAAGGCAAAATTTTCATTATGCTCAAATTGCTACCTAATACATGAACCAAGTTGGAACAAATTTCTGCTTCTAAATAAGCATTATAGCAGAACTGACTGTATATTGTTACATTTCTTAGAAGTTATTTATGTTCAAATAATACATTGTCAAATTTTCTCTACTGATTTCCATTACAGTTTTTAAAACACATAGGAAACATTTCAGACACACTATATACTAACTGGGAGCTCTGGCAGCATAGTGCCTAAGGCACTTGACTGCTACCCAGAAGGCTGGAGGTTGAAACCGACCAGCCACTCCTGGGAAGGAAGATGGGGCAATCTACTTCCATAGTGATACTGCCTTGGCACCCCAAGGAGGGGTCACTATGAGTCAGGTCCAACTCGACAGCACATAACAACAATAAATATACTAACTAGAACTAATACTAGTGGCATCCGGTATATAATTCTCTCATGAACCAGGATACATGAAAATATTGAATCCATAGGCTCTGTGTACACTCATATAAAAATATATACGTTTTTCTTACTTTCAATAAAAAACCAAACCCTGTGCCATCTAGTCAATTCCAATTCATAACAATTGTATAGGACAGAGTAGATCTGCTCCATAGGGTTTTCAAAGCTGTAAATATTTATGGAAGAAGACTGCCACATCTTTTTCCCAAGGAGAGGCTGGTGGGTTTTAACTCAGCATCAGAGCTTCCAGGGCTCCTTTCATCTCAGTGGCCCTCAAATAATGAAAAAATTTAAGGTAACAAGTAAAAGCTTTGAGATGGTCGCAACTCTATTTCCTTATACCCACTCCTCAGTTATTGATATGGTTAGGTTCCAAAGATCAGGTCTTTATTTGAAAATTGTGCATTATATGAGAATGGAGAATGACCACATCACTTTACCCCCTCACCTAGTGAGCATTCCATCAGGCTTCTGCTGAGATCACCTGCCACCACCTCTCCCTCCTTGGTATCATCTCAGGAGAGCTTAGCCTCCGCTACCACCCACAGGAAAGGGCTTCCCAGCTTTCCAGAGCCAGGACGACCCAAGTACCACCCCGTTCTGCATCCTTGAGATCCCCTCCTTCTTCCACCCTCACTACATTTTCAAGATGGCTGGTCCTAGCTTATCCCCTAAACAACCCCAAAATTCCTTTGATGGCTTTGTTGAGGACAGGGTAGGAGGGGCTGGGTGCACGCTGCCTGTTAGGTGCCCTCTGCTAGGCCTTGGCTCAAGCATCATCCCCTGTCTCTCACTGGGTAGCCCTGCCTCCCTCTTGCCCCATGTCCTCCTGAAAATCGACAATCTAGAGCCTCCTCAGACCTCCTCAGAGGCTCAGATAGCCAGGCCCAGCCTCTACCCTTGACCTGAAACTGCAACTGCCATTGGCCATTCATCTACTGACCCCACTCCTGCACAAGTACCAGTCAGCTGATATAAAATCCCACAGGTCTTGGGCACCCAAGTGCTCTCTTAGCATTCCTGCCAACCACAGCCCAGCTCTGGGTTCCCTCCTCGTCCCTGGCCCAGAGTCCTACCTTCAGGACACTAGAAGCCACTGCTCTTAACTCAGTCCCCTGTGGGCAGCCAGGATCTGCTAGGCAGCATAGTGGACCCACCAGCCCTATTCTACACCCCCTCCACTCCACCCAGCACCCCAGTGGCTCAGGAAGACTACACCGCTTCTCCCCTCCCAACCGAAAACCAAATACTGCCGAAACGACTCATAGAGGCCCCTCCTTGGGTTTCCAAGGTGGTATCTCTACAGTACATTGCCCAATCTTCCTTCCAAGGAGTGGCTGGTAGGTTTGAACTGCCAGCCTTCTGGTTAGCAGTCAAATGCCTTAGGCACTACGCCACCAGAACTCCCTCTCCCCTCCGAGGCAGTAAAATATTACGCACTGGGAGCTTCCTTTCTATGTGCACACAGGATCCACTAATCAGACCAACCCCACTGCTGTCGAGACAGATCTGACTCATAGCGACCTCTCCTTGGGTTCCAAGGTGATATCACTGTAGAAATAGATCACCCAGTCTTCACTGGTCAAAATTACGCCGTCAATGGGCAAATGTTCAGATAGTAGATTTTTCAGTACTGTCGGAAAGGTGAAATGTCGGATAATGCTATAATCAATAAGCAAGGAGTGGGTTTATTAGTAGGCTGGGGTAAGGAGCTGTGGTAGTACAATGGGTAAGCACTTGACTGCTACTGAAAGGTTGGCAGTTCAAACTCCATGGGAGAAAAGATCTGGTGATCTCTCCTACATTCCCCTTTACAGATTATAGCTCTGTCCTGTTCTATAGGATCTTTATTATGAGTTGAAATTGACTCAGAGCACACAAGAACAGTGGGCACTAAGGGTAGTAAACTCAATTGTGATTTGTTTGATCTGCAGTTTTGAATTAGAATTTGAATGCCTAAAGGCAGTACTTCTGCTTTCTAGCTTAAAGTATGGCCCCTAGACTTTAGTCATAAACAATGCATCAGTCATCTACTCCTCCTTCACAAGTATCTAACAATCTTGCCCCTGAAATCTTTTGAATTTACAATCTTGTTGGAGGCTCAGTTAAGACTATTTTATCTGGAAATTTATATCTTAAAGCATGAGATTTTGGTATTTTGTTTGATACTCACCTAGACCTTGAGTCCTTATCTACTAACTAAGATGGTAAAGAGAGCTTTGGTGGCGTAGTGCCTAAGGCGTTTGACTGCTAACCAGAAGGCTGGCAGTTCAAACCCACCAGCCACTTATCGGAGGAAAGGTTGGGCAATCTACTTCCGTAGTGATACCTCCTTGGAAACCCAAGAAGGGGTCACTATGAGTCGGATCCAACTCGACAGCAGTGAGTTTGGGTTTTTGAGATGGTAAAATACTCAAACATATAATAACATGATGAAATTATTTTATTCCATATCATAAATGTTTAATCAGTTCTTCAAGGAGAGCTCAATGTACAATCTTTGTGTTTAATGTAGTTAGCACTCTTAAATCAGGAAGTACTGTTTTGGTACATAATTTGAGTCAGTAAACCAACTTCTTTATTGTGTTTCTGCTAGTATATTAACCTATCTTGCAAAGAATCCTTGAAGATGTTTTCATTTGTACATTAATTAATAGCTGGACATCTATGAATTATACTGATAAGAAGTAGCACATACTTGAAAACCAGCTTGGTTTCATTGAATGTGGAAATGGGAAGTGAGTTAAATAGAACTGATATATTAGTTTTTCCTAGACAGCTTAAGCAAGAGTCTTATTTTACAGATACCAGCTAGTTGTACAGACCACAAGTGAAGAGAGACGAAAAGTGGGAAATAACTTGCAGCGTCTTTTAGAAATGGTTGCTACACATGTAGGGTCTGTTGAGGTAAGTTTGTGAAGCTCTTTCCTACATTTTAAGAAAGTTGTTTGTTTAATATATATTTCTGTCTTGATTCTATAGAAATTAAATGATAAATTTTATTTTTATGTAAAATATGTCTAGTAAAAATTTATCAAAAGAATCCTGTCTAGTGGTGTGGTAAAGGAGATTCAGGGGATACTAAAGTATTTTATAAAGTACTAAGGTAAACAATATATGCCAGGCCATATTCTACATACTAAAAACATATTAACACATTGAAGGTTTCATTAAGATTGAGATGGAAGTCCATATTTTATGAGGAATGTGTTTCCTTTCTATAAGGTCATATAATATGAACTCTTACATGAGATAAAGAATTTCTGAAACATAGTGTATTTACCTTAGCCTCACTCTTCACATAGCTTTGAAAGTTCAATAATAAAACTATTCCTCCAACCTGGTGTATAGACCCCTCCGGAAAACTAAGACAAATTACTAAACTTTGAAACTCCTGGGTAATTTATTAGGTGATAATATTTTTCTAGATTAGAGTGGTTTGGGGGGTACGAGGGACTCATTATACTGTACCACTAGGCCGTTTATTGAAAACATTATGAGCATGTAATACCCTGATTGCCATGATCTTTCCTGAAAGACATTGAACTCTTGCTTTCTTGTTTGACAAATCTCATTGCTTAGCAGTAAGTACTAAGAAAAACAGTGTGGAATACTACATCAGAAAACCTTTGTTCTACCCAATTCTACCAAATTCACCTGCTTCATGACTCTGTAACCTTGCATGGATCTTTTTTAGCCAGAATTGCTCACAGACCAGAAAATTATTTGAGTAATTATTTTCTCAGTTCTCCCAAAGACAATATGTTCTGGATGATAGGAGAAAAGTTTCATGACGTACAATGGATGCCTTGGATTGAGAAAGTCCACTTATAAGTGCCACTTCTTTTGGCCTTTAGCTTCTTCATCTACAAAGTGAAAGGGTTGTACTAATAATTTCCGATATCCCTACCACTTGTAACTTTCTATTACCTATACCTACTAGTCTATCTTCAGAAGTGTTAACTTTTCACTAGGGATTTGTGTGAAAAATAACTACAACTATTAAAGTTGAAATCAGTTAACATAAAGTCTTACATTTGAAAATCTAATGGAAGAGTACTATTAATTTATAGTTATTTTTTATACAGTTCATTGTCGATCAAAAACAGCAGACCAAATTCAACAAACATTTACTTGAGCACTTTGCACTATGCCAGATTTACAATTGGCTGATGATTCTGTTAAATATTATAACACAGAAAGGCAAATGAGTCATCATTAAACCCTAGAGGGAAATATTATGCTGAGTGAAAAAATTGAACTAAAGAAAACAGGGAAGTTTAGATCTAATAGTATCTTTAGGAGGTATATTTTTCTCATGGGACAGAGTGTTTCTTTAAGCAGTAACTGGTTGGAGTCCCATACAGGTCCTTTCTCTGACAAAACTAGAGACTTCTGGTAAGATGGAGGAATAGGCAGACAAGCAACACGGACCCTCTTCAACAAAGAAAAGAAAAACCAATTGACAGGGATATAGAAGATAATCCTGGAGCCCTGAACTTTGAAAGGAACTATACAGAAGTGGATTAGTCACCAACTAGTGGAAAAACCAGAACAAAAACAGTGAGTACAGAGATGGTTGGAACTGCGGACTGTCAGCTACTCTGATGGGACCAACAGCCTGAATATTTCCAAGTGGTATTAGGACCTGAGAATTGACCTAAAGATCAGCCCTGGTCGCCAGGGGCTGCAGGAATGACTGCACTGGTGGCCTATGACTAGGATGGGAAACAGCAAGGAGGAAGACAGCCTGAGCTGTTGACTTTCTGCTGTCCGGAAGGCACAGCCATTTAGATTGGTCACACGTGGCAGCCATTTTAAATATTTAAAGTGATCAAAGGCACAGCCATTTTGAATGTTTACAAGTGGTAGCCATTTTGGATATTTAAACTGGCCAAGGGCGCAACCATTTGGAATGTTTACAAGTGGCAGCCATTTTGGATTTTAAAGTGATAGCGTTCTTATTCAGATTCCAGGGACCTAAGAATAGACTCTGTTTGTCAAGGTCAGCAGGGGCATATGAGAGGCTGACAACAGAAAAAGAGACAGGTGTTGAGTGTATAAGTGATGTCAACTAGCAAATAGAAGAGCACAGTACCCTACTTATAAAGAAAATGAAAATCATGGGCAAGTCACACCAACACACAATCACCAAATAAATACAAACACAAAAAAACATGACAATGCCTCGGAGACAACAGAGCATCACAGACCACACAAAGAAGCAAGATAAAGCAGGAAAAATAAGGGACCAGGATACAGATCCAAAATACATCCCTGAGGAAGATGCAACATTGGAACTCCCTGATAAGGAATTCAAAAGAATTATTTTTAGGTATCTTAAATGTATTAAGAGACAGATCAAGGAAACCACAGAGAAAACCCTACAACAATTTTGAAAGACAATACAAAAACAAAAGGACAAAATGAAATGAAAAATTAGAAATGATACAAAATATACACACAGAAATCCAGAAGATTAATACTAAATTTTCAGAAATAGATAAGACATTGAATGGATAAAGGTGCAGAACTGAATCAATGGAAGACAGAATTAGGGAGATTGAAGGCAAATAACTGAACACTTCTTTGGAAAGCGATAAATCAGGAAAAAAATGAAAACAAAATGAAGAAAGCCTGAGGTTCATGTGGGATACCATCAAAAGGAATAACCTATATGTAATCAGAATTCCAGAACAGGAAGAGAAATAAAACCAGAGAGAAAACTGTTGAAGATTTGTTGGAAGAGAATTTTCCTGGTATGATTAAAGATGAGAATATATCCATTCAGCATGTCCAGTGAACCCCAAAATGATAGACCTCCAAAAGAAAATCACCCAGACATATCATCATCAAACTTACCAAAACCAAAGACAAAGAAAGAATCACGAGAGCAGCATGGGAAAAACAAAAAGTTACCTACAAGGGGCAGCAAATAAGACTAAGCTTGGATATCTCGACAGAAACAATGAAAGTGAGAAGACAATGGAATGGTATATATAAAACCCTGAAAGAGAAAAATCTCCAACCAAGAATTACGTACCCAGCAAAACTGTCCCTCAAATATGATGGTGAAATTAAGACATTTCCAGATAAGCAGAAATTAAGGGAATTTGTTAAAACCAGACCAGCCTTAACAAGAGATGCTAAAGGGAGCCCTTTGGACAGAGAAGCAACAACAACAAACAACACTGACCGTTAATACACATGATGACATAACCCAGAAACCAATCCAGTTATGGAAGTATCCAAAGTAAAGAAGCCTACAAGATTGTAAACAGGGAACCAGAGACATCAATTGACAAATGAGGACAACTACAAACCAAAAGAGGGAAAAACTGTGTCATTACAGAACTTCTAGATGGTAGGGAAGTCAGGACAACTACAAGATAAAACAGACTGTTCTAAACTTAAGAAAAATTATAAACCTTCATATCAAAAAAGAGGACCAGCATAAATACTCAGCAAATAATAAAACAATAGCAATGAGGGAAGTGATAACACAATGCATAAACAAAATGAGCTCAGCATAAAAAATTATATGGAACAAAGAAATTGACACCATGAAAAAGTACATAACCAAAATGACAGCAAGAAATTCATATTTGCCGATAATTACATATCTGGCAAGGGACTTATCTCTAAGATTTATAGTGGAAGAGTGAATGACCAAACTATGGTACATACACATAATGGAATGCTATGCAGCACTAAAAAAGAATGTAGAGTCTGCAAAACACTACATAATATGGATGAACTTTGGAGTACATTATGCTGAGTGAAATACGTCAATCACAGAAGAACAAATAAAGTATTAGTTCGTTGTTGGGGAGGGTCAAGGAAAACTTTATACATGGAGGGAAACTTTCTTTGTTGGTTGCCAGGGGTTGCAGGGGAGGGGAGAGAAGGGAACACTGAAAAAAAGAAATGCATTGACACATGTCACTTTAGTTTTGTGTATTTCACTGTAAATAAATTATATTTCAATAAAATGCATTTTAAAAAATAATCATAACAAAACCAAATTCACTGCCATCAAGTCAATTCTGACTCATAGCAACCCCCATTGGGTTTCCAAGGCTGTAAATCCTTACGGAAGTAGATGACCCCATCTTCCTTACACAGAGCTCCTGGTGGGTTTGAACTGCTGACCTTCTGGTGAGTAGCTAGATGCCTCGTCCACTACATCACCAGAGCTCCTTTGTCTCTGATTAGAGCCCCGTAAAGGTCCCGTAAGGAGCTCTGGTGGCCTAGTGGATAAGACATTTGGCTGCTAACCAGACAGTTGGAGGTTTAAACCCACTAGCTGCTCGGAAGGAGGAAGATGAGTCAATCTACTTAAAAGTTTTACAGCTTTGGAAACCCAATGGGGGTCGCTATGAGTCGGAATGGGCTCGAAGGCAATGAGTGGAAAGGTTCTATATCTGACTAGATGTTCCAGACCATGGGCAAAGTATAACCTGGAGGGCAAATTGAGACTGTGGCCTTCTTTTTTTGTTTATTTATTTATTTATATTTATTTTAATTGTGATTTGGGTGAGAGTTTACAGCACAAATTCATCTTCTGTACAGCAGCTCACATGCACTTTGTCTCATGACATTGACTACAATTTACCACAGTGCAACAACTCCGCTCCCACTTCCTCATAGTTACCTCTTCCCTGTGTCCATCCCTCCATGCACTCCTGCCCTGTGAGCTGTCTCCCTGTGCATAAACAGCCCTTCTATTCTCCCATGATTATTCTCTCCAAGGAGTACATCTACCTAATGTGAATGTTCAGCTCATATGCCTGTCTTTTGTTTGGCTGAAAGCCACAAGAATGAGTTCAATTCCAGACCTGAAGGGCAGCTAGTGGCCATAGTCTCAGTCATTCCATCAGGCTCTAGCAGACCAGCAGACTTGTTTGTCCCTCTCTTTCCTCCCGCCCCTGCCAAATGATTTTGAGTTTTGTTCCACATTGTTCTCCCACTCTACCCAAGTTCTCCTGCATAGATCCCCCTCTAAATGGTTGACTGTGGTAGCCAGGCACCGTCTAGTTCTGGTCTCATAGTCATATAGGCTGAGAATCTCATGGTGTACCAGTCACTTGGACTAATTATTTCCATGAATCTTTGGTTTTCTTCATTTTTCTTTGCTCTGGACAAGGAGAAACCCATCATTGCATCTAGAGGGCCACTTGCAAGCTTTTAAGATCCTGGTCACCACTCCCCACAGTAGGATGTGGAACAATGTTTTATGCAGTATGTTATGCCAGTTGAGTTTGATGTCCCCTGCGACTATGGTCCCGAGACCACAGGTCCAACTACTCACTCCCTCTGGGTAGCTGGCTGTGGTCAGGTGACTACAGCCTTGTCCCTTGTCAGCTCTACTATCCTGGGAATTCTTACAGAACATAACAATATACTTGTAGAAACATTGTCTGAAGACAGTGACTTTCTTTTGTAAATAAAGTTTTATTGGAACACAGCCACACTAATTTGTTTCTGTACTGTGTGTGGCTGCCTTTGTACTACAACAGTGAAGTTGAATAGTTATGACAAAGACTATCTGACCCTGTCAGTAAGTTGTACACCTGTAAAAAAGTGAATTGGCAAAAGTTGTGTGATATATTTTTTTTAAATGAGTAGCTACTATGGCTACTTACATCTAACCAAAGACCTCATGGAATTTGGTTTCTTGGTTTGGAGGTTTAGGGTCATGGTTACAGGAGACATCCCAGTTTATTGGCCTACTGACACGTATAGTGCTTCTGTTATGCCTCCTAGTTCTATGCATAGTGCCTGGGGTCTTAAAACTTGTAAGAGGCCATCCCAGACACAACAATTGGTCTGTACTTGCCTGGAACAACAAAGGAAGAAGTAGCCAGGAATAAAAGGAAGATACGAAATGGGTGCTTAATTGCTTCCTTTGCCATGAAACCGGGAGAACTAGATGATGCCCAGATAACATTACTGAGCATTTTAGTCAAGGATTCTGTAGCCGAATCCTGATTAATAGAGGGAACATGGAGAACAGAGTTGCAAATTCTCATGGACTTCAGACTTCTGAAGCCATGAAGTTTGGTTGAACTCCTGAAACTGTTGCACTGAGATAATCTTTAAACATTAAACAAAAAATCTCCCCTGAAGTCTTCTTAAAACCAAACAATAATTTAGTTTAAGTAGTGGTTAAGGCATTTGATTGCTAACCAGAAGGTCAGTGGTTCAAACCTACTACCCACTCCACAGAAGAAAGATGAAGCAGTCTATTACCATAAAGATTTACAGCCTTGAAAACCCAATGGGGTCTCTATGAGTGAGAATTGACTCAATGACAGTGAGTTTGGTTTGGGTGAGAGTAAAATATCTTCTTTAAGCATTAAGCTCCTTGAAATATCTATGTGGAATCAAATTGACAACAGTAGCTTGAAATATTAGATATGAACCTTGTGGACAGAGCTTCAAACTGATTCAAAACAGTTCAGTCATGGCTAAAGGAGTGTATAGCATTGCATACCAATCAGCTCTCTTCCGTGTGGGATTTTGACTCATGTAGCAAACAAGCAGCAGTGCACTACTGCAAGATGGTGACTGAGTGTATGATGGGCCTGCATGGTAAATATAAAAGTGCTCCTATTATTCCCATTCTTAACTTACAACTGTTATACTGTTGTTTCTATTTCACAAGTAAAGACTTTAAAATAAATAAATGAATTTTTTTACATTAACAATTGTTCATTGTTTCCATAGAAACATCTTGAGGAACAGATTGCTAAAATTAATAGAGAGCATGAAGAATACGTATCTGAAGATCTCTTAGAAAATATTAGAGAAACTGGAGACAAGTATAAAAAGAAAGCTGCTCTACTTAAGCATCTTTGAGTGAGGGGCTACTCGGGTCAAAATTATACATGAAAGAGATTTGGTTGCTATGCAATGGGTACCCACCATTGACCATGACTGAACTGTTTCAAACTAGTTCAAAGCATTGCTTAGGGGACAGTGAGTTGATCTTAGTGAGGAAGAACAACTCTGAAAAGAAGGGTGAAAATGGTTGCACAACTTAAAGAATAATATGATCAGAGTCACTAATTGGTACATGTAGAAAATGTGAATTGGCATATATTTTGCTGTGTATATTCCTAACAATGACAAAATTTTAAAAACAGACAAAAGAACCAAAATAAAATAAAAATCACTGTGAATCCTCTACCCCCCCCAAAAAAAAAAAAAAAACTATAGATAGATAATACAAACACACACCCCATTCAGTAGAGTACTTACCTCTGGGGTAGGAAAATGGGGAATGTGATTAGAAAACCAAAATGAGCCTGCTATTTTCTTATATATAAGAGTGCTCCTTTTATTCCCATCCTTAACTTACAACTGTTATACTGTTGTTTCTATTTCACAAGTAAATTTCACAAGACTAAAATAAATAAATGAATGTTTTTACATTAACAGTTGTTCATTGTTTCCCTAGAAACATCTTGAGGAACAGATTGCTAAAGTTAATAGAGAGCATGATGAATACATATCTGAAGATCTCTTAGAAAATATTAAAGAGATTGGAGACAAGTATAAAAACAAAGCTGCTCTACTTAAGGCTTCTAATGAATGAAGATGAAAACTTGATTATCTAAGCAAGAACTTTTTAAACAGTGTATATTTTTAAATGTTCTCTAAGTTTGAAAATTCTTTAACATATCTTATACCTTGTCATAACCATATCTTCCCAACTCTGAAATATTTTGTATGTTTTATAAATCTAGTTCATTAACTTAAAATATATATAGCTTGATAATAAGCTTTTGAATTGTTGTTATGTTTAGATGTGTACTTTGAGTTAATAAAAATGAATCAACAGTGTGTTTCCCTCATTTTTCTTTTCCTCCCTTGTTAGTCAGTGAAAAAGGGGAAGACGCTCATTGAGGTAGATTGACACAGTGGCTGCAACAGTATAAGCATAGTAAGGATTGTGAGAATGGTGCGGGACCAGATATGTTTCATTCTGCTGTACATAGGGATGCTGTGAGTCAGAGCCAACTCACCAGCATCTAACAACAACAACATCTTCAGACGATAAGATACTATGGCCTTAAACCAGGAGTCAGCAAATTTGTTACTGTTGTTAGGTGCCATCGAGTTGTCTCCAACTCATAGCAACCCTACGCACAGCAGAACGAAACACTGCCTGGTCCTAAGCCAGCTCCATGATTCTTGCTATACTTGAGCCTATCGCCGCTGCCACCATGTCAATCCATCTCGTCAAGGGCCTTCCCCTCTTTCGTCAACCCTCCCCCTTACCAAGCATGACATCCTTCTCCAGGGAATGGTCCTTTCTGACAACATGACCAAAGCATTGTGAGACCAAGTCTCACCATTCTCACCTCCAAGGAGCATTCTGGCTGCACTTCCTCCAGGACAGACCTGTTGGTTCTTTAGCAGTCCACAGTACTTTCAGCATTCTTCGCCAACACCACAGCTCAAAAGCATCAACTCTTCTTTGTTGTTGTTGTTGTTAAGTGCTGTCCAGTCGTTTCCAACTCATAGCGACCCCATGCACAGCAGAACGAAACACTGCCCGATCCCGCGCCAGCCCCACAATCCCTGCTATACTTGATCCCATCAT